GAGGCTGTTGGTGTACCAATAAAGACAAAACGAGGGAAACTGCTAACATTGTAGTTCGTCATGAATTGAATAAAACCCATGCAGCACGATACATAAGATTCGTTCCTGTTAAGTATCACACGTGTAAGACGATGAGAGTCAACGTGTATTTCGTCAATCAAGGTGCGTTGTTACAACATTTCAGCAGTATTACCCATACATATCGCCATATCAATAATTTCATGTTGTAAATTTTCTAGAAGCACCACGTGTTAACGCCACACCCTCTGAACGATCAATATTTGTACGATGGACTATTCAGCCATGTGGTAAACTAACTCATCTTATAACTGGCTACCTTGTGCACGTAAGCACTAAGGGAAAATTTAATGTTAGTTCAACAACTACAAGTAAAAACATCACAGGGCTTCAACCATACACTGAATATAAAATACGAGTCAAGTCTGTCCCGTATGGATTATGGAGTGATAACAAGACCATCCAGACTGACATAGCAGGTTTGTTAACTTGAAAGTGAGCTATTTGGTATAAAATTTTGTATCTATATCTCTTTGACTTAGTTCCACAGGGAATCCAAAGCGTTGTTACGTTGAAAAATCTCTCGTCAAATTCTATCAGCGTCACGTGGAAGGTGAGAACATCAAACTGAAAGACTGGAATATGACTGAATCTAACCAGAGGCTATTTCTTGTCTTATCAGCATCCACAAAACCGTTCTATCAACGGACCATTAACAGGTTATAGAGTAACTTACACAACAAACAAAGGCCAGACAAAGAATGTTGACATAGGTGTGGTCAACACGTGGAATATTACGTCACTAGAAAAGTGCACGTGGTACAGTGTAACGGTGTCAGTTAATAACTCCAAGTACATCGGTCCACCGAGTAAAAACGCCACTATAAGAATTGGAAATGGTATAAGTGTTGATTTAGTCATTTATTGAAAAAACTCATGATGTATTTGTCTCCGATCACTTGTTCCTAATTATCATTATCACACACAGAAATTTACAACAGCATTAAAGTGTTTCAATATTTATCACTTTATATAAAGATAAGTCTCAATTTCTATTTTTTCTGCTGGCTGAGGTCTTCTAATCGCGAGGACTGACAAGTGCAATGCCCGAATGGATATGGAATTTTGAATATCAAACAATCTCTAAAGAGGAGCAAATAGCTAAATTCCGATGTAAAATTATACTTGCTTGCTTACAGTGGACAATTTAACCTGTGACATCACCGGATATGACGTCAAGTTGACACAACAAGAATGTGCAGATATCAAAAACGGTGATAGGATAATTGAATCGACCAATAGGAGATCTACGATTTTCACCGGGCTATTGCCTTTAACAATGTACGCTGTCTCCGTGAGAGCAATTACGATAGCTGGCCCTGGTCCTTATAGCAAACCAATTTGTGTTTCAAGCACTCAAAGAAATATACATGGTAAGATGGTATTTGGTGTTAATGTTTTTTTTGCTGATGCTAATAGACGATGATGCTGATGATAAAAATATCTACACATGAAAAGGGGGTATTTTCAACAATATATATTATATGCAAGCTTCGGACCAGTACCAGAAAATGCCTTGTTTTCATGCGTTCGGCTGCGATATAAGCGAGCGGGCATCTTGACAGTCGTCCATTGACGAATATGATGACGATCCATGACAATGACGATAACAATGTAATAGACCTTTTCGCGGTTAAAACCAAAACGTGCAGCCCTCAAATGAATAAAAATGCAAACTCATGTCAAAATTATGACTTTTTTCACAAACAAAAAATATTTTCCTGGAACTGCAAAAAGATAAACAAGCTCAAGAATGACGATTTTTGGGTAGTTGCCTGAGTCTGCCTCGCTTTCGGGCAAAACCACAGGCTATTCTTGATGATGATAATGATGTTGACGGCTATGATAAAGTAAGTATATGACGATATGATGATTAAATGTCAACATTTATCGTCAATGTATCGTTAAACAATCATATTTACAACRAATGCTGCAGTTCAATTTAACCTAAGCTTATCGACGTTTTTGTGAAAATAATCAGCAGTTTCAGCAGGAAACCACGGAAAGGAAGGCAGTAGATCATCGTCAGCAAAGACAGTCCTGATTGGTCTTGTGGTAGCTCTTGTTGTTGTGATGATCCTGCTTGCTGTGCTTACAGTCCTAACATGGAAAAGGTAGGGATCTCACATCTACAAACTCTACTTCTTTCAACAGCGTATTGACACGCAAGGTTTAAACATTTTAATGTTAAAATTCCTATTTCATCACAATAAAATAGTTTTTTTTACTACTGACCATTGTTCAGGTATCAAAAAGGAGGTAAAAGATTTTGAATAAAACCGACGACAATTCGAAAAGATGCAACTTTACAAAATGCAACATCCTCATAGTAGATGTCATTGGGCGATTTAAGTTATTATGTTTTCAGTTTTAATAATATTCGTCCTGCACAATTTACACACCATAGCGTGCATTCTAAATTCTAACAATAGCAGTGCATCGAAGCAGAAAAACCATCAAACAAAAACTGTGAAGTATCGTTACAAAATTATTTTGACTTGTAAGTACTACCTACATATTCGTTATTTGAAAATGATCGTGGATGGAGGTATCGCGCATGCGTACCCAAATTCTCACAACTCGAAATGTTGAAGGTGAGTTTTTTTTCCTTGAAGCTTCGTATGTAGTTAGTGCTCAATGAAATCCTATTTTTATTATATTCTAAGCGTACTTTTTATTACTGAACAGATGACAGGACATGTGTTTTTCTACGGAGTGTCTAAACGTCAGGCAGTCAACTTTTGTGAAANTCATGATTATCGAAAGCTAGACAGCAAAAACACTGGAAAAAATGGCACTATTATTGAACTCGTTTGTGATATAGAACAAACAAGCTATCTCTATATACCAACAGTCACTAAAACAATAACAAAAAAAAACTAAAAAAAACGAGAACCACTTCGTTGAACGCACCCTTCAAGATTACGTTAAATTTTAACGTGAAGCTATATTTTTATTTGAGAGATTCTCGTGTTATCTTCTCCATCATGTGTTCTGAATGATATATTATCATATGACTGTTCAATTTCGTGCGATCTGATTGGCTCACGCGCGGGCTGTATTTTTTACCAGGACCTGTGTCCCGGATGAAGAAAGCATTGCGTTTTTCTTGCGAGTTTCAAAGTCTTCTCTGGTCGAAAATTCGTATTTCTTTCACAAATAAATTAACAAAAGCAAAACATGTCAAGTATGAGTGAAGATTAAAGTGAATTCTACTGCCCTAAGATGAAAATGCGTCTTAAATGTAAACGACAACACTTGGTATACGAAGGCTCCTCTAAGCAAAAACCAGATCGGAAAATTCCTTATTACAGCAGCCAAGAATGCTGGGATTTCACAAAATGCTGGTGCTAAAGTAACAAACCATTCTATGAGGAAAACAAGCATTTCAAGGGTATGAAGATATCCCGGAAAACTTTGTAGCACAACATAGTGGTCACAAAAACATCAAAAACAAATGTCATTGATAMTCAGCAGAGATCAGTCCACAGGATGCTTCAGCACAGCTATTCAGACCAAAGCAGATAATTCGATGGAAATTATGCCATCAGCGGTTAGAGCGGCTATCCGGTCGAACACAGCTTTCACCAGCACGGCCATGCAAAGTTTTTCCTTTATGTCGGGAGTTCACACCATACAGAATTGTAATTTCCAGGTTTTTAATGATAGAAAGTGACAGATTGACTTGAGCTCATTACTTTCAACGCTTCTTTTTCAACTGACTTTTTGCGATTTTTGTCAAATTTTCACGCGTTTTTTCGACATTTTGATGAAGTAAATCATTTGTTTGACTAACTTTCAATGACAAAATCAGAAATAGAAAGAATATTCAATATATATCTCTATATTTTCAATGAAATAAACTCTTTGATTCTAATTCTTCAATTGTGCTAATTTATATAAATTATGCAAAGGCGGCGAAAAAAGCGTGAGCCGACCGGAAACAGACTTGCCAAATACCGGAAATAAAATGAAGAAATAATCATATAATAAACGAATTATTAACCTCACTTGCTCGATCTGTACGGGAAAATACCAGACCTTGGTGCGCTCGGTACGTACTGTCAAGACCTCGGCACAAAAGCACAAAAACCTTGAAGACGAGGCTTAAACAACTAATCGCTATGCTTCTCCTGAGCTTGGTGTTCAATTCTTTCTGTNTCAGGAGGACATAAGCAAAAGTGCGGACTAAAACAGGGCTTTTTCTTTCTAATGCATTTCTCGTTGCAGTAAAAATAAACATAAGACAATTTGGACTGCATATCTCCATTTGCATTTGTGAATTCTCTTTTCTTTGACACGATGACTATAGGTCGTACGATAGCCCACTTTTATTATTCTGATGGCCAATCATTCATTTATTTATGTTCTTGCGTATTTCTTTCTTTCATTTCACAATTCACTTTATTTTATTTGTAATTATTCTTTTTGGTGCTACAATACCTTCCGATGGTGTTCCAGGGGTGTGCCGGGGTGTGCCGGGGGTGTTCCGCGGTGTTCCGGCGGTGTTCCGCTCTCAGGGCTAAAATAATGTAGTACCTTTGTACTTTTAGTCTGGGGTAGGTAGAACCCCCCTCCCCCCGGGCAATTCACTACGCCGACGTATATCATACTTATTTAAAGTTGATAGGTAATTAAGATAGCGAAATGAATGATAATTTAGACTGACGTATGTGATTGTACTTAGGGGTAAATAGTCAAAATCCGACGGCTTCAGAACAGGAACAAATTTATAGGTGTTTTAATGTTTTTATGCTGAGAGGTCTAGTACATGGGCATGGCAACCAATGAAGTCTATGTAGCAAAAACGTTCTTCTTCCTTTTGCAAGATAATTAGATAAAAACCCGCAATTTAATAGCTTTAGAGAAATTCTTTAATTGAGATTATTTAAGGATTCTAAGATTCTAAAACTCATGAATTATTCATTAGACATTCTTCCAATGAGCATTCAATTATGGATCACATGACAGAACCTATAATTCAAGTTAAAATCACTGATTAATTAAACATGAGTTTTATAACTAACTGATTCAGTTAGTTATAACACTCATGCATAAAACATCTGTGTTGTAACTGATCATTTACAGACACTCGATGTGTGCCTAACACTAGAAAAGTTCTCATTCTTATACTCTCATCATAGAACTTTACTATGTTTCAAATTTAAATGTACTTATTGTACTTATTCATATTACACTAGAAACATAGTGGCGCTTGGATGTGGGAAACCAAGTTGATTACTGCTCATGCTCAGATGGAGCTCCATCAATTATTCATTTTTGATATTTGTTTTATTTATTTCATGTTAAACTAAAATAATGTAGTTTCTTAGGTTTGGGTTTTAGAAGTCATTTAAAAAACTCGTAGTTCGTGTTTTATCGTGGATATAAACAATAGGCCTTCGGCCTCGTGTTTATATGTCACGATAAAACACTCCTACTCGTTTTTTAAATATCACATAACCGATAGCCTAAAGCGGTTTACTGGCGAAATAAACTGCGCGGAATGGCTAAAGAACACGAGAAAAGATCTTTCTAGAACTCATTGATAGTTCATGAGCTATTAGTCCAATGAGCATCGAGCTATTGGGTCACATGATGGGCTTTTATATCCCGATAAAGCACTGAGGTTTTATTAATCAGATCTATATCAGATCTATAGAACTGATGTTTTATTAATCAGTTCTATATCAGATATATAGAACTGATGTACAAGTTCATCAGCGCTTTATCGCAACCCAACACTAGCAAAGGTCTCAGTTTTAATGTCGCATCATAGAGCTTTGCTAGGTTTTAAATCAGTTTGAATCAATGTGCAGATATACACTAGTATAGCATAGACTAGCCGTTCTTCCGTGTTGAATCAAAATTCTTTCAATTGTGGCACAATGCACATGCTCATTAGAAGTTCAGTATGCATTATCACTGTTTTCGCATTTTTCAGTTTTTTCAAAAATGATAACAATTTCTGGATGTTGGAGTTCTAGAAGTCGTTTATAGAGCTCGAGTGCGTGTTTTATCGGATATATAGATTATCGCCTGCGGCTCGAATCTATATGTAGTGTTTAGACACGAGGCCAAAGGCCGAGTATCTATATCCCCGATAAAGCACGACTGCGAGTATTTTATACTACTAATATCAATGAGTTCTAGAAATCCCGATAAAAAAACACGCACTCGAGTTCTATAAACAAAACGTAAATCACGAGCCGAAGTTTGAGTGTTCTCCCAAACATCACAAGCGGTTTATTTCGCCACTTTAAGCTATCGTTTATTACTTTTATATTATAGCCGGCGTCCGCCATTCAGACTCAAAAGTCTTTCAAGGGTGAGGAGGGGAGGGGTGGGGGGGGGGGGACTCCCCGTCATAAAAGCTGGTAGGTATGCTCGACGGACCTTTTAGGTTCGAAAACAAAACCCTCGCGTACCTTTTAGGATCCTGAGCTGACTCCGTACCTTTTAGGGTCAATTTTCGAACAACGGGGAAAATATTGAAGAAGTGTTATCAAAGAAATAGATTGTAATAACCTCAACAATCTATCGACATTGATTTTCTACAGTTTGTTAAACTTGAGCTTTTCTCTTGTTAAAGCCGTCAAAAATGGTTTGTACCTTAAGTGTAAAAGTTCCGTAAAATAACGAAAACTAAATCAGGATTTACTTTAAGAAATGAGAAACTATCTTACACAAGGTGTAGAGAAATGTTGAAGGACTGCCTTATTTCCTCAGATTACAATCATAAAGACTACGGTTTACATAGCTTAAGTTCCGGCGGTATGACAGCAGCTATACAGTCATATATTCCTATTTCAGAAAGAATATTAAAACTCCATGGTCGTTGGAAAAGCGATACCGCAAAAGACATGTATGCCCTCCAACCTATTCAAAGTAAACTTAGGATAACCAAAAATTTAGGATTGTGACTCAGTATTCATTGTCATCCACGTATATAGTGACACTAAAAAGCTATTAATCATTTATCAATATTTGCTTATTATTGCTAATAAAATCAGAACTATGGCCCCCGCAAGCGCACCTGCCATTTACAACATCGTATATGTTGCCTTACTTATATTCGAAATATAGAAGATAAATATTTTACGTTTGTTTGAACGAAAGTGAAATAGAACGTAACCGTCAATCAGCGCGCGTGTTAGAATTGAGCTATAATATAAAATCAAGTTAATGATTGCACTATAGCAACCACTTGCATGATCAGGCTCACTACACTAAGTGAACAATTATAACTTTAGAAAAGATCTCCACAATTGTTCTTATAAAATCATCTTTCTTGATAGGGTGCATCGAGAGATCTCTTGTTGGTGAGAATCGTCTAATCATTCCTAACAGTGGCTATACAGCCTCTTCGTTCTTATATGACAGTAGGCAGTTTAAAGATCGAGTGACCGGAAAACTATACTGGATCGACACCCGATACGTTCCACACAATGCAAGACTGAACAGCAAATTTGGATGGTCACCACGTGATAATAATAACCCTGATTACTTACAGCTGGACCTTGGTGCTGTACGAGCCATCACTGCTGTAGCAACAAAAGGAAGTGGTTTCTTATCATATGAATGGATAAAAACATTTAAGCTTCGGTTTCAACACGACGCAAATTCAACGCAATGGACTGAATACAATGTCACTTTAAAGAATTATTACTTGGTAACGTCATTGTTGTTAATTTACATCTTATATCTAATATTGTATGTTGGCAATATTGTTAATAAAGTTTGTGTTTTGTCTTATTTTATTTAATATATGGCTTTTTCGAAATTCATAAGGAGACTGGGAACGAGTACGGATAAAGACTTTCAAGTTTGGTTTTAATCAAAAAATGCACTATAACAAGTGTAATAATTTGACTTTTGTTTTGTAGTGTAAATATAAAGATGCATGGCGTAAAACCAAGCAGTACTGGTGCACCCATAATGGCCAACGGATGACTGCCAACATTGCAGTTCGTCATGATTTAAAGACAATCCAAGAAGCACGGTTCATTAGATTTGTTCCTGTAGATTATCGCGAGTGTAAGACGATGAGAGTCAACGTGTTTTTCGTCAATCAAGGTAGGTTGATTTCAGCGGTATTACCCATACAAATGGCCATATCGATGATTTCATGTTGTTAATTTTATAGAAGAACCACGTATTGACGTCATCACTCCCTTTGAACGATCAATATTTGTACGATGGACTATTCAACCATGTSGTAAACTAACTCAACTTATCACTGGCTACCTTGTGGACATAAGCACAAAAGAAGGCAGGAAATCAGTCAGGGTTGGTCATGGTCCACTTATTACAAGTAAAATCATCACAGGACTTCAGCCA